CTCGATATTGGATAGAGCATATCGAAACAAGATTCAAATTTAACATAGCACCATAATTCTAGAATGTTCACATTGATTTATTGGTCCAATATTCAAAATCAATATTTTCCCAACATCCACTCTTTATTGGTTCAATATTCAACCAATATTGTGTTCTTTTTGATATGCCATCAATTCAAAATAGGTATTAACAAAAGAGAATGAGGAAGTTCGTTTGCTTCCTAATATAGTATCATATGATTCAATTTTCCGAATCAGAAGAAAGTGGGAATTGATGGTACGCGATGGGTGAATATCGCTTATATTTACGCTGGAACATGATTATAATTGCTATTGACCACTCACCAGAATTCATTCTTAACACGTCATAACTACTTCTGAGACATTTATTTTGTAATATGTATGCACATATTACAGGTTCTTTTTGATTGAAGCTATGTGTATTTCGATGAATATATAAGAGGCAGAGCCATACTGAATCTCAAATGTCGTTTGAGCCACTAGCCACTACATTGCTATCCTCCCAGTACAGACATATTTTTTATTGTTAGTTATCTCAGAGTCATGATATTACCAGAACTCCTGATTGGAACAACGGTCAACGGCAGCAAAGTCTGATCAAATTCGGAATACATTTTGAGTCCATAAAAATATTTTTCAGCTGAACATCATCTTTTCCGCCTTAACAAATGAAATAAGTACGTTTTGATTTCTTGGCTCATTGTACCGCGCAATAAAAAAATCACGCTTCAGTAATTCAATCCCGACCTCTTCGAGTTAGTTTCGGTATGATGATGGAAATAATTCGTGTTAACATTGTGATCATCATTCAAAAATATCACTACTTTCAACAGCAATGCATCGTTCTGAAAATTTGCATTAACGTCATCAGAATGGAAGAGGACCAAAACTGTTTATTTTAGATTCACTAGAAATGCAAGCGAAATATGAAAATACTAATGATTAGACAATTTTGTTGATTATGAATGACCTTTAAAGATGTAGAATGCGAAATATTCATATTTATATTATATACAATATAGTTATGAAACGGAAATTAATGTGCATGATCATCTCTCATCAAATTACCATGTTATACATGGTGAAGAGCATTCGAATTCGTTCTCAGTTAATCATTATTCTATAGAGGTTTTATAATAATTATACAGGCTGATTCACGGTGGCTGGCACATTAGACGTTTCTGAAGAACACAACTCAGGATTATTCTGAAAAGTTGGTGCCTTGAATAATTAGTTGTGTTCTATCGACCTAAAATATTCCCAGCGTTGTTCAGAATTGAGATTTTTGACCACTCTTTATCTATTTCAATTTGATATCAATTGATAGTACGTGAAAAGTTAAGAAAGGGACATGTGAACCGTTTCGACAAATTATGGATAGTTTCGACAAAAAAATTCTAAAAGTTGAAAAATCTCGATTTATCACACCCTATATTTTTGTTATCATTCCCGCTGGACCCCAAGTGTGATAAATCGATGGAATCAGCTCTCCAGGAAGAATCTGAGAACAGAATGTTATACAAGGTGTCCCTTTGAAAAAATCAAAGTTGTTGCTACTTTTCAATATAAGCGGCAACGTCGCAGCGCTGAGAATATTTCAGGTCGAAGGAACAGAACTAATTATCCAGAAACGTCTAATGTACGGAATTATTCACCTTGAATCAGCTTGTATATACAGTGTGACCCACTTCTAATAGAAACACCTCTGTATCTCACCTAATCGTTGGGTAAGGATCCTGAAATTTGCTGGAGCGAGAGATCACAGTTGAGAGAATATGAGAGATATACCAAAAATGCACTCTTTGACCAAGTGGGGTCATCTTCAGTGATATACACTGCTCGCCAACAGCCATGGAATCACCCCAATTTCCGTAAAATGATATTAGGAGTCAAAATAGGTTGAAAATCACTTCAGATTCGGAATCAGGACGCCCAATTCACTAACTATCCAAAGTTTTCCCAGAAAATTTTCAGTTCAGAAAAATTAAATTTGGCTCACTTCTCATGGGAGCACCCCCGTATCTCACGTAATTATTGGGGTAGGGTTCTAAAATTCGCAAGAGGAAGGGAAGGCCCAAAGATAAAGTCAATTACGTAAGATACGGAAGTGCGCCCGTAAAAAGTGCGACAAAATTAGATTTTTCAGAACTGAAAATTTTCCAGGAAAAATATTAATATAAATAGTATTGGTATAACTCTCGCTCCAGCGAACAGAATCCTTACCCAACGATTACGTGAGATACAGGGGTGTTTCCATTAGAAGTGGGTCACACTGTAGTTGCAATAAAACATATTCACATCATTTTCTCATATTCAAAAATTCAATTCTAATGGACCATACTGTCGAAATACAAAATATTGTTGCAATGAAATAATACGATGTGAACATTGCGAAAGCAATGGAGTTATATCCTGTTTCAGCTAAAAACTAAATGATCGATACTGCAAATTATGTTACTTTGCACATTGAACAGAAGCAATGTCACCTCATGACCAATTTTTTTTATTGATCATTATAGTTATAAAAGTCATATGCATGCGCCTTTACGAGCTATTTTATCGACTCTTTCCATAACAAGTGATATTTTACAGGATTGGCGATAATATTATTATGATGATTATTCAGAAAACCTTTCGAATGTCACGAAAGTTTGGAACAATAAATTGTGCGCTTACATAAAACCTAACTACACAATTTCGAACATATCTGTGTGATACATATTCATGAAAATAGCTGATATAAGTGTCAGCATAACCTGTAGTATGATGTTTATTCCAAAATATAAATGAGAATAAATCGAGAAATAAACATAAAAGAATTCCCCAGAAGTATTTTATTTAATGGGCGTGTACACCTCAGTAGAACTTTGTGTTTTAACTCAAACCATATTTATAATGATCGTTTTGTACATAAATAATGCATGAAGACATAATTCGATCAAAAAATTAACTGGAATGTTTTATTTTTGGACATAAATAATAGTACCTTCTGAAAACGGACCCTCTTATGACGTAGAAACCTCATCTCGCCATAGTTGAAACTGACACTTATCACTGTTGCCATATCATCCAAACAAAATATCCGAGAGATCGAAATCGATATTGAAATATCTTTTGATATCCACTACCACTAATGCAGAAAAATATATTCAAGTTGTAGTCGATTGTAGGTTGAATCATTGGAATATAAACAATCTCTAGACAACGAAATGTCTCAATCTGAAAACCATTTGCACCATTACAATTTCACAATAATCCAATATATCTTATAAACGCAGCAACATTGCTTTGTTGGCCCGTTTTACATGGAGCTGAGAAAAGTTGATATAGGTTAGGATTGATCTTCTTCTTGTTCTTATTATCTTTCTCCCAAAAATCAACTTACCGATTCAACATTGGTGCTTTGTCAGAAATCATGTATCATTCATCACTGTCTGGAATAGTCTTGTTCCAGTATCAGGGTTTCAGATCAGATCAGAGGTCCGAAAAATCGGGGATTTCAATAATTTTTTATAAAACGTAGGGAGTTTGGGTGAGTTCTATCGAATTATGGAATAAAAATTCTTCGTGATATAAGCCCGTTTGACAAGGATATTATATGACTATTTCAACATTCTATCTCGATATACTTAGCAAAGTTCACGTAATATACCCACATATGGATCGAAGCACAAAAATGTTTTTCCCTTTGTTAGTTCAACCCTCTATCAAATTGTGCATATATGTTCTTTCATCTCGTAAGTATCTAGTAAGTTATATCAAACGTTTCAGATAATTTTCATCTTCATTCAATGGTGGAAGATAGTTGAATGATTCTGGAGCTAGATACACGTAGCTTTTCTGCCCTATGGATTCAAAAGAAAGTGGTATATTGTGCTCATGCTCTGTTCATGTCGCGTATAAATGGTTCGGATTGGTGAGTTCGTTTTTGTTTCTGTATTGTTGGCAGCCTGTCTGAATACAATATAATTGTCTGATATCCAAAATTTACGTTTCAGTATACAGCAGATTACTTGAATATCTTTCAGGTTTATTCAACAACATTCTGAGGAATCGATTTGAGAGATATCAAGAGAATGTAGGTGAGTTCGTGATACTCCTCCTCAACCAATAATACCATAATTGAAGTGTGATTCTACTGATATAGGATTTTTTTTGTATTGGTAGTTCAAATATGTTCCAACATGATTGAATCGAAATAGAGACTACAACGTAGTTTGTTTGTTGAATACTTTATATGGTGGTCTCATCTGAGATAGAAGGTCCTCTTTGTCCAAAGGAGTGAATAAAATAATTATCATAACATTGTCATCACCTGAGATAATGATGAATAATGTATGTAAAAATAATGTATGTATATGAATACCTATAGGTATTCAACTTTTCGTGCAGGTTTAATTGATAAATCATTTTGAATGTTCAGACTGTATTCTGGCAAAGATGTTGGAAAGCTGCTGAATGGTAGATCGACAATTTTTCCAAAGATGATAAAGAGTAATCTACTATCAAACCAGTTTTTGAGTTTCACGAGATCTACCTCAATATTCAATTTGAGATTGTACCAGTTATCATTCATATAGTATATCACAGTGTCATCCGCAACGCTAATGTTTTTCCTATCGTTTCTTGTATGAATATATCGTAAATTATGAATAACAACGACCCCAATACTGTCCCCTGAGGTACTCCACATGTTAGTTCCATTTCTTTACTAATATGGCTTGATTCTTACTCTCTATTTTCTGTCTCTCAAGTAGCTTTTTAATAACATGTGTGCTGTACCTCTCATGCTCATGTCTCCTAGTGTATCTAGAAGTATGGAGTGATCGACTGTATCGAAGGACTTCTTCAAGTCTATGGAATCTCTTATTGAGTCTAACTATATATATATACTTCGAAATGATGAAATATCATTTTCAACTGGAACATGCCCATTGAGGCTACCTGGGCTGCTTTGAATTCTGATCATCTAAACTTACTTGCGTGTAAACGAGAGGTACGTTGACAGTATCATAGCCGATGAGGGCGCCCAACCTCCTCCTAATGTCGGACAATTCCATCAGCAGGGTTTGCACGATATGGTCACTGGTGATTATCGACTCTTTCCTGGCTCGGTTGATGATATTGGTTGCCCACACCAGAGGCATCCAGTATTTGGACATCGGCGTTCGTTGGTCCATCATTTCGAAGATTTTTCTTTCGCTTTCTAACATCAAACCTACAAAAAATCAGTATTTCACTTTTCTGAATACGATATACTAGCCGATGTAATTCAGATGTAGTAGGTGATATTCCGAAGAACCCTACATCATTTTAAGTAACTGAGAAGTTCTGGGTTATTGACCATCATTACGCGGAAAATTTCGAAAGCAAAAATGATCCGTCATGAAATCACGATTATGGAGATTTAACCATTCTCCAGTTGAGCATGCAGCTTAATATAAAGTTGATAACGATGTGGAAAAGATTCCATGAGTCATAGATTCGAAATATGTTACAAGTAAATATTACTCATATAACTCATTTCATGCTCATTTTTCCTTTTTAACATTTCAACCATGATGATCATATGAAAATAATTTACAGGAATGAATCTATCAATACCCTAAGAGTGATGAACGCTTGATAGAGGCTGAGATGGCATAGAAGGTTCAAGCTTACTATTCTCACTAAGCAGGGAACAATGGAAAAAGAACGAAGTGTAATTTCGCCAAGAGAGTCTAGGATAACACACGGACGGATCGCGCCTTACTGACTTACAAGGCTCTGATCCAGGACTTTGCCTAGAAGGAAGAAGTATACGAGAAACCTATTTTGTCTTAGGAGAATACACTGCAGTTTTTCTGGCTGAAGTATTCGCCATTCTGGCCATAGCAGAGAGACAACAGGTGAAAGATGAACCAGAACAGGAAATTATGCACGGATAGTCAAGCAACGATCAAAGCTATATCTCACCCCAAACCAAGCTCAGCATTGGTCCACGAATTTTTGTTATTTATTTTGGATCGCAAAATCCTATAATGTTCGTGGAACATCGTGTGACGAATGCGGTGATGCTCTCTTATGACTAGCTGAACTAAAGGAAGCAGAACTTGTATGGGTCCGCGGAATTGTTACATTGAATTGACACATGTCACTTTGAACTGACAATTGCCACTTCGGAGTGGCAATTGTCACTTTGAACTGACAATTGTCACTTTGATTTGGCAACTGTCACTTTGAAGTGGCAAAAATGAAGTTATTGGCCCTTCTACGTCTTAGTATACAGATCCTCGATGTATATTTTTGAATAAGCAGCATTCACTGTTATCAAAACCAACGATCGCTGATAACATCACTTTCATCCAAAACCTGGACACTTATTGAATGGTTTCAATTACAAAACATTGTTCAATTGTTCAATACAATAGCATCAAATTAATATTCCTTGAGCCTCTGTGAATAATCAACAATAATTATTATTGTCATATTACGGATTTAACGTTAGAAATACATCGCATGACCATATTAATGCCATTTCATATTTCTATGAACACTAATTTATATGTCCAAACTCAATGTTTCACGAATTATTATTTATCATCGATAATTAGAATTATTTCAACATGAACATATTGGATAGGAAAATTTTCAATAATTACAATGTTAATGAGTTTGACATTCAACCACAGAAATATTGTTCTGAGAGAGAAATGGTCGAATGGTATTTTCATTGTCCTTCTTCGATTCCGAAATTATAGCCCAAATTGTATGCCAAGTATACAAAATGTCACGAAAAATCTTGGCATTTTCGTCTAATGAAACACAAATTATGATAGTAGCAATCTACATAATATATATTATTTGTATGTCAAATTTTTGACAGACACTCATCGAGATACAGTAAACATTGCATTCAATAAAGAAGACATTCCTGGACAGTTTTTCTGCTCATGATATGACATGATCTTTTTATTTACACAGGCTTCTGACTGAACATTTTCATAATTCTCAACTGAGGGCCTATTATGATCAAGGTAGGGACTGATTTTTTAGTTATGTGGATAAGGCTAACAGGGACGACGAAGACAGGTAAACGCAGGCAATGAAGATGAAAAATTAATGAGGGTATCCCTGACAAAGCAATGTCTGGTACCTTCATTTTCACAAAGTGCACAATATCTATGCTCGTTATCTTCACCAGCTGTAACCCAGATAACACATGGACATCCTTCATGAATTTTATGTATTAATTTATATGCAGCAAATATCTGAATATCCATTAAATATCCATTAAATATCCTTCAGGAATATCCATAAGAAATACTTCAAAGATATCCATGAAATATCCTCCGAAGATATCATTCAAAAGCGCCAGGAAGATATCCTTCGAGGATATGCATTGAAGATAATAAGATAAAGTGATGGTGATCTGGAGGGTAACTAATAATTGATATTGAACAAGAAACATTTAATAATGATAATCTACATCAATAATGAAGTTATCAACGAATCTTAAATAGAAGTCAATTGTGTTTGTGAATCCTGAAGAGTCCTCAGAAAATCGGTCCATTCCCATCCTTTTATGTAATTAATTGAGTATAAACCTTATATCTCTTGGATTATTCACATTCATTTTTTTATCGCGCTTCACGCACCTTATATAAATAGTGTAGATAGGATAATCATTATTAAAAAATCATTTACCCCCTTAAGAACGCAATAAACAGAAATATTCGCATAAGACACAATACAGAACTATTAAAAAACCCGAGTCAACACTTTACAAAAACACACAAGAATACGGCAAGCTTTCGGCACTTTTGTATCATTGATTCACTATAGGCCTCAACAATAAATGCCTCTACAGTATTTTTTTTAATATCACTACGAAAAAAGAAAAAGGGAGTTGGTGGAGTACGGGATTTGAACACACGGATTATTTGTTGCATTGCATCCTTATGGCACGGTGGCAAGTTTCAGGTGGTATTGACTCAGGAATCGACACTGTCAAGATCAATCTTTCACATTGAACACATTTATATTTGCTGAGGATATCTCATGTATATCCTCAAGATATCTACTGAAGGATATCCATGTCGAATCCTGCGGTGGATATCTCATGGATTTCCATCTCAAATCCAGTAGGACAACGAAGAATCAGATATTTTTCCAAAAAGCTTCAATCTACGTTCGGACACAAAAGAAATTCATAAGTTGGCCCTATTGATATCAATCTTGCAAATCGAATACATTCATAATTGCTGTGTATATCTCATGTGATTATCTTATGGATATTCTTAAGATATCTACTGAAGGATATCCATTTCTAATCCAGGGATATCCCGACCAGAATTGGACATGTAGAGGATATCCATAGGATATCCTGTGTTATCTGGGTAATTCTCGCTGGGTAAATCATGCTGGATCTATCGAGGAAGCTGCTTCACGAATATTCGGTTTCTTATTGTTTGTGAAGAGTTACTCTGTACACCTGAATAGCTTCTGTTCTGATGATCTACAGAGCACATAATATCCGGCCCACACTGTTCATGCATATATGGGGTTAGGCACTCATACTAACTGATGATCATATATACAGAGAAGTGCACAAAAAACGGCCAGGATTGTATCTTCTGAATTATTCTAGATAGGGTTTTGAAAATTGGTGAGTAGCAAGTATACCAAATTGCTCATTAATCGATAAAACGATTTTTCTTCTTCCAGTTTCACCGGAAACGACACCAACTTTTGATTTTTGAATGGGACACCCTGTGTTACATTCCATAATCGGTTAGGAAGTATCATGACGAATTCAACGGTACCGGGTTTGATAGGGTTATTTCAAACGATTACAAAGATATTTGCGTTCGAAGTTTCCATATGCTCAATGGTTGTGACTTCGCAATATCAAAACTTCTTTCTCTGTCACACTCATTCAGCATATTGACACTTAGAACTCGAATATCTGCCAAATCGTTTGAAATAACCCTATCAAACCCGGTATCGATGAATTCGTTATGACAATCCCTAACTGATTATCGAATACAATACAGGGTGTCCCGAAGTTATAGTCCTGTTTTTTGTGCACTTCTCTGCCATTCAAAGACGAGTCATTGGCCTGGTTGAAAATGCCACACTCTCATTAAATGCCTTGACATCATTGTGATATCGCAGGAATTTCAGCGACCTTGCATTTTCCTTCATTATTTGGACGGGAAATTGATTCCCAGAAATCTAGGGTAGGTACCTATTCTTCCATCATTATACCAATACCAGTCAGACGAACTCGAACTCCCAGAGCTATATCGAACAACTATTTACTAGAACTCTTTTGTCTATAGAACAGTGCTTATATACATATGAGGGAGTATTCCTATAAGTTCTTTTAATCTTTGTATCTTCTAACAAAATGTTAATACCTACTTTTCCTCCCCATCTTCCTCAGGTACGCCCAATGATCCCCAAACATAATCTCCTGCGATCCGAAAAATAAAAAAAAAATCTAACAAACATGGTGAAGTTAGAATTACAGATTATGGTTTGCAATACGTTCAAGAATGATGGCGTGTTCATCTGTTAACTGCGCCTTAGTATTCACTCATTCATTGTGATCTGACTTCCTGTCAGTTGGTCTAACGTATCCATTAAATAAAATACTGCTTATCACACGTTCTTGTAACACGATGTTGTTGTCGCGGCTTACATATATTAAGAGACATGCACACTTCGCATACAGAAAACTTGATGTTCAATCACATTCCACAGAATGTGACATTCTTTCAATCAACTTCGAAAAATTGCTTTCACTTTGAATAATTCCATTTTAGGAGCCAATATGGAATTCTACTAACATTCGGAGACATGCTTGATTCCTAACCCACTTTTATTGGTTTCTGATGTTTTTGATGTGAACCTACCAATATTATCATGAATTCAGGGACTGAAGTGGCACATTCAATTCTGTTTCGAAAAGTTTGTAGGCCGACCGGAGTGTCGAACGAGTGTGTATAGGCATAGATTATTTGTTTAATCTATGGTATAGGGCTGAGGGTTTATATCATATTGATCATTCAAGAATTTGACAGGTTGCTGAGGGGCAAACATTATATTTTGTCAAGATTTGTCACATGAAACCATAATTAGAGGGATCGTTTCCCTTGGAATCCGAGTTGGAACCAGAAATAATTTCATGATTTTGTTTGGTGAAACTGTTATCATATTGTGGATATGGCAGGG